CACATGGTTTGTGGTGAACATGGAACCGGGAAAACTACGCTGACCAGGATTGCATCGAGTGAGGTTGGGCACGGAGTCATATACGTTGATGTTCCTGCGAATTTTGAGAAATTTGCTGAGGAGTTTGTTTGCAAGAGCTATTAATTTCACATTTGAGGAACGTATCTCTTTTACAGCACAGTTAATGAAGAAAATCTTGGGATCTACCAATAGTAAGTTGGCTATTACTGCTTTATTGTTGATAGCCAATATTTTGATCCTAATTTTCTTTATAGATAAACTTAATTATCCTGAGTGGGTAAGAGCTATGGATGCTTTTAAACGTGCCTCTGTAGTGTACAAAGCAAAGAATGGTAAACCACCGGTTATCGTTTACGATAATATTAGCCGATTGGTTCACAAAAATCCGGAAATCCTCGACATCCTTCAAGATGATGCCAAGGATAATGCCGATGACAGCAAGTACATCGCTGTATTTGTCAGCAGTGAAGGTTCGGTGCCTAGAAGAATGGTATGTAAGTACCGATATTATTCTCGAAAAATTAGTATTAATTACAGATTGTGATTCTTATTTTTAGCACGTAGTGCCTGGTCACGAGCAGATAAACCGGTGATAGAAATTGGCGATCTCGGTGAAAAGGAATCAATAGATTATCTGGTCAACAAGCGCAAGATCAACTCTGTAGATGCAAAAAAATTATATGAATTAGTTGGTGGGCGCATTGTAGATCTAAAGTCTGTGGCGGGCAAATTTCTAGCTGGACAATCTCTCGAAAGTAAAATTAGTTTCATTATTTTGCATCAATTAGATTTACACAATTCTGCTTTGGATTAATTGCTTAACTCTTTTTCTGCTCTTTTTTTTGCAGTCATTAAACAGCAAATATTAACTGAAGTCAAGAAGAAATTTGATTCAGCAAACCTCCTTCGAAATCAATCGCATCACGAGGCAGGAAAGGGTGTAATTAGTGCTTTGTTGGATTCCAAAGAGATTGATACTGATGTATTTAGAGAATTTTTCAAGGGTGAGAAATACAATGAAGTTTTAGAAGCTAACGTGTTTGCATATCATCCATCAAGAGATACCATAACTTTTCAGTCTCGCTCAGTAGAATACTATATTCAGGAAAATGCTAGTATATTCAAATAATTTAGAATTTGCGTAGAATTTTATTGCTAAATAGATTAATTCTACGATAATAATTTTTGATTATATCTCTACTAAGTTTTCCCACCCCAAGATTAAGAACATCAACGGCTACAATACCACACATATCATCTAAAGAACACGCTCTCTCTATCATAATCCTGTCAAAAATAATCTTAAATTGGTTCCAGATTTCTGAAGTTATATCTGAAAATGATCGTTGGCTCGAATCAGAAGAAGCTTCGGGAGAAATGGCACTTCGTGCCTGAATAACGGAATAATGTCGATTAATTTCGTTTTGGATCGTTGAGATTGATCTATTAATTGATTCGAATTCTGTTGCGACTCTATTATGATAGGTTTGAAGGTTGCGTTCAATTTCATCAAGTCTGGCATCATGATTGGCAAGCTCGGTGGTGAGTCGGGCATCACGATTGGCAAGAATTTCACTAAATGTCGTATCACGTGCAGAAGGGTCGGAATTATGCTTGATGTCGATGCCTTGCTTGGTGATGCGTGAAAAATAAAATGTGACACCGACAAGTAAGTACATAGAGATTTTCTCGGTGAACATCAAAAAGCTGGCGAAGTCCAAAAATGGAGCGATTCCCGAAACAGCAAGCGATGTCATCTATAAGTAGAAATTGGTCTATTAGCATATATACACGAATGTGGGGGAGTTGTCATAGCATATAAACAAATAAACAAACCTTAATCGTTTGAAATTAGATATTATTTGAGTGTATGAACCTTAATCGTTAGAAATTAGATATTATTTTGAGTGTATGAATCTTTTTATTTATCGTGGATAAAATTTATTAGCGGAGCCTTTAGTGGAACTAAAGAGATTTGTTAAATGTTTTATTCCCTCCAAATCGTTAATTATAACGAAGGGGTAAAGGGTCACAGATATTTTTTCTCCACCTTTTTATATAAAAAATCAAAGATCGGAATTTATTTATAGACTTGGACGGTAAAGGACCAGAAATTGCCAGAACTTTTTATGTGTCAGAGACACTAGCTCCGCTATTGCAACGCAATGGGCAACGTCCTACACTTTACGTAGGTGAAATGTGTTAATTGGATCAATAATTCTTTGCTCTTGTAATGTTGACATCAGCAATCGAACATTTGTTGTTTCGTACCACCAACTTCAAATTCAAATAATAAATCGATCTTCTAACTAACTCGATTAATTTCTTTTTGCAATAGTATCTATTCCGATATAAATCCCAAAATTAGAAATTTTATATGAGTCAGAGACTCACCCTTACCAAATTTTGTCAGTGCGAGTGTATATTAACGTAGATCAAAAAGTTTTTATTACTCGAAGTAGCCCCTAAGGGCCTGGTATAAATAAAAATAGTACGGTCATACAGTGTACATATGAATCTATCTACCAGTTATTTTTTAGTAAATTTTTTGATCCTCGATCTCTTACTGGCTGGGGAATTATCGACACTAATTCTGTCCTTTAATAACCCAACAATTATCCCGATTACCTTTTTCACACTCGCTTTGAAGCACGTCCGGATTTTCTTTGATAGCAGTTTTTGAGAGATTGATCTGGTACTCGCTATTACTTGTAGCATATATTCCTTCGGGTGTATATATGATGAAATGCCATTCCATGGCTAAAAACGAGGAAGCAATGCTTCGAGTCAGTAACTCATCAGATAATTAGCAATAAAAATATATAACTGCGAGACCCGGGGTCTCTCCCTTACTAAATGCCATGCCAAGAAAAATTTCACATACCTGTTGATACGATCCCATATAGATAATCAAAATAATCATTCCCAAATGCTTGATTCGCAGTTCTTTTCTTCTTATTGGTCTGGTACGCACTTTCAAGCTCTGGCAAATTTTGAGCATATCCGATCCTGATATTTCGTGGTTTGGCCTCCGTAATGCAAAGAAGATCCTCAACGCTCTTGATCGCGTAGTCGACCCGACCTGTTGATTCTTCTCCAGAGATATCCTTTTGCAAGGCAATGAAAATATCCTCAGATGTATGTTTTTTGGTAATGGCTATCGATGCGTGTAATATAGCTGAAATAAATTCACAACGCGTTGCTTCATCATAGTCTCCACATTTGAAAGTTTCAGGATTATATCGTCCATACAATGATTAAAGGCCTTATCATTATCGTCTATTTCTTCAAACACTAGAATAAAAGTGTTATTATATGATTAAAATTAACCAGACGCCCATCTCAGACAACAGATATGTACCGTATTTCACCGCATAAAGTACCCAGGGTACGTTACACCTGGAACACAAAAAAGTTGATTCGTACCCGGGGGGTACGTTGTAAAAAGGTGGGTATATTAAATGGTGGGTCTCTTATACAGAGGGTATATTAAACAGTGAGTCTCTTATAT